AACAATAGCAGAGTCACAGGAGGTGGTAGTGTGGTGTTGGAGAAAAGCACTGACTTTCCCAGAGACTGTCAAACGGGGAGAGAAAGAGAGCTCCTTGGAGGGCAGAGCGACTTCATGTCACATACTTTGAGCCTGTTGCTAAGAGGGACCAGCCTTTCGGAAAAGACACCATGCTCAGAGAGGAGGAGATCAGCGCAGGATAGGAAGCCCTTCAACAAGGTGGATTGACACGGTGAGGCTGCAGTGGGCTCAGTGTGTCAGGACGTGTGAGGAAGGGTCCAGACCCGTCGTTGTCCATCGGGGTGCTATGAGTCGTACTCGACTTGAGGGCACCTAACAGCTATGAGTCAGAGCTGACTCGACGGCACTGGGCTCGGTTTATTTCTGCTTTCTCTTCCTCACCTGTTGCCGTCCAGTGGGAACTCACCCACCACTGACCTTCCTTCAGAGTGTCCATCTTTCTCGTGAATTCGAGTTGCCAGAGAGGCTCTGCCTTTGGCTTACTGGTCGAGATCCCTACAGACTACACCACAGTGATAAATATGAAGGAAGGGTGGTCCCCTGGACTTGGTGGACAGGCCACTTGGGCTCTTGGCCATGAAGCCACATCCATTCCTAGGACCTTATCTTTACAGTTGACAGAATTTGTAGGTGGCACAGATTATTCACTTTTTAGGTGTGGTGCTATTAACCAAAAGGTCAGTGGTTCTAATCCACGAGGAGAAGCTTCTCTTCAGGACCAAGAGAGGCCGTCTCTTCCTATAAAGATTTACAGCCCAGGAAAGTGGATAGAGGGTTGGTTGCTGTGAATCGATTTGACTAGATGTCAGTGGGTTAGATTACTAGTTTCAAGGTGGGTGAGTCAAATCCACGTGGTGGTGCGGTGGAAGAAAGTCCTGGCAGTCCACTCCCATGAAGATCACAGCCAAGAAAACTGGGGTGGTTCTGCTCCGAGTGGGGATCAACTTGACAGCAGCCAGTTAGCAACAGGCAGGTGCTTCCCTCCTGGGAAAGACAAATAGCATCCGTGTCATGCCTCCCACTTCCCAGTGATCCTCCCAACGCCCCCAAGGAGAAAGTGTTTGTGGGTGTGTTTTATCATCTTATCTGGGGCTCAAAGGCGACTCAGTGGCTCGCCCAGGGTTACTGAGCCAGCGATTGCCAAGACCAGGATTTGAGGCCGGGCCTGCGGATGCCACCACCTGTGGCCTCTCTCGGCAAACTCGGTGCCTGAGTGGGTAGCGAGCCTGATAAAAGGGAAGATAAAAGCGAGGAGGGTGTGGCCACCCTGGCCCAGAAAAGCACTGGCTGACATCCAAGGCCAGGGGGACGGGCAGGATGACCTCCTGGCAGCCAGAACATTCCAGAGCTTCCCAGGCCTGCTTTTCAGAGCAATATATGCGTAACAAGAAGGGGCAGGGCGACGGGGGGATGATTCAGAAATTCTGCCCCAGAATTCAGTGACAGCCCTGTAATGATGGTGATTAAAAAATTAACACCACTGTGTGCATGATCTGCATGAGGTCTTTGCAGCCGTGGATTAATTGATAAACACAGACGCACAGGCTCGGGAAAAGTTCCAGCGCACAGTGGGATGGCTCGAGAGCTTTCCCAGTGGCCTGGGTCCCAGAGCAGAAACGGGCCTTCCAGTCCTAGACCCTCCCCCAGACACCCCCTGGACTTCCGTGACCTGGGGGTTGTTTTCTGTCTGGATACAGGTCCTAGTGGAAAATGTGGGGATTCTGGCTCCATTCTGGCTCTTTCTGCCGGGGTACACTTAAGCGGTTGCTTCACTCCTCTGGGCCTTGGTTTCTTTATCTGTACAATGGGTAGAAACAAGCAATTGGGACGATTGGCGTGACAATGGAAGGAGAGCTTGGAGGGGAAGTGGGAGGTGGGTTAGTGGTCCAGTTCCCAAGGCCCTGGTGAGATAATACAAGTCAGGGCCCCAGAGATCAGAGCAGCCAGGTGCCCTGAGTGGAGTGAGATGGCAAGGAAAGAAAGGGATTTGGGGGTTAGGGACCCAGATTTGACCCCAGCGTTGGCCCTTGTCAACCCTGAGACTTGGCAGCCCTCCCCATCTCTGTTCTGATTGGCACATCTGCAGCTTGGCAGAAGTCCTCCTTTCCAAATGGAAATGGTGATTTGAATCAGGAAAAGCCCTGAGTGCAAGGTGCTATGGTTCCTTTACCAAACCAGCGCTGAGCCTCTGGGACCTAGAACTGACTGTGGCCATGACGCCTGCGCGCTGGGGCTGGTCACGGCCAGACAGTCCAGAGAGGGGCAGAGAAGGCGAAAGGGAGGGGGAGCATGGGGCCAGCAAGGCTTCCTCCGGCTCCCCACCAGACCACAAGAAGGAGCTCAGTGACCAGACCCGTGCCTCCTAGGTTTGCCTGTCACCGCAGAGCTAGGTGGGACCCCCACAGCTCTAATTCTCTTTTTTTAATCATCCCTGAACCAGCCTCTTGGAATTCCTGGGCAATGCAACTGATTAATTGTACTCTACCAGTAATTAAAAGGGAGCTCTGGTGGCTTCTTTTTGTTGTTATGTACCAGCAAGTTGCAATCGACTCATAGCTGACCCTCCAGCAAGTTTTCAGAGACTGCCCATCTTTCTCCTGCAGAGCAACTGGTGGATTTGAACTTCATGCCTTCCGGATTTGCAGGGCAGCGTCTTACCACTAGACCACCAGAACTCAAGATGCATGGGGGAGACTGCCCATCTTCCTCCAGCACAGAAGCTGAAGCTCGTGTGCCTTGGGGTTGACTGTGCGTCTGTTAAGCCATCAAAGTTCCCCTCTGGTGGCTTGGTGTGAGGAATTACACTATCAAGACAGGCAGTTCAAACCCACCCAGGGCTTGATGGAAGAAAGATGGGCAATCTCCTCTCATACAATTTACCGCTTCTGAAAACCTGCTGGAGGGTCAGCTATGGGTCAGCTCCGACTAGACAGTGCACAACAACAGAAATGGAAAGGTTGGAGGTTCAAGTCCTTCCAGACAGGCCTGGTGATCTACTTTTGAAAACTCATCCGTCGGAAGCCGTGGGGACAGTTCTGCTTGGACGCTCAGGGGCTGGCGTGCTGGGGTAGACTCTGGTTTGGTTTTATGGTTTTGAATTCACTGTAAAGCCTCTGTCTGTGCCCCTGGCGCATCCTCTGAGCGGTTGGGTGCTGCCCGGCTTCTCAGAGCCCTTCAGTGGCTCTGCTACCTTCAGGCCCTGAGGCCAATCCCTAGACATGACCCGAGGACTTTGAGTTTGGGTCTCTGCTCACCTCTCCAACCTTGCTGTTCTCCACCCCTCTTTTATAATGCCATTCTTCCACCAAACCAAACCTTTGCCTGCTTCCTCAACCTGCGTCCGGCTTCCTGTCTTCCCAGGCTGGCCTTTGACCTGGAGCCCCCTTCGCCCCAGATCCTCCCTCCAGGGTCCCTCCCCTCAGTGTGGTCAACTGTCTCCCCCACTTGACTATGCCATCCCTAAGGATGGGACCCACCCATGCCCGTGGTCCCCAGTCCCTGGGACACCCAGGGAATGCTCATGGAATTAAATCATGAGACCCTTGGAACTGCATCCCATCACCGCCACCTTTCACAGTGTGCCCTCTCCCTCATCTGACCACCCTGCCAGGCTGCCATGAGCCCCGTGGGCCCTGTGTGGAGAGATGGCAGGTGCTAACCTTAGATAGTTCAAACTTACCCCCAGTGCCGCGGAGGAAAGGCCTGGTGGTCCGCTCCTGTAGATTTACAGCCTAGAAAACAGGAGCAATTGTTGCCTGTGAATGGGTTCCATGGGTGTGTTACCGGAGGAGACACAGCCCACGTGTGTTGTTGCTTTTAGGAGAGAAGTTGGCTGTGCTGTGGGTTAAGTGCACAAGGGGGACCCAAAAAGAATTGAGGGCTTTCACTGACGGCCCACTACCCTGTCCTCCCACCCACCAGCAGACCCTGTGTTTCTCTCTCTCTAGCACTTTATAGAAGGTTCTGGAAACTCTTGGCTCCCTTCCACGGCCCGCCCCACACCAGCTCCCCAGGTGTCTATCTCCCTGGCCGTTTTCTTTTCAGATCTGTAGTTCAAAAGAACAACAAACTTGGAGCCTGGGCCAGCAGGCTTGTTCCTGTTGGCTCAGCTGCAAACCCGGGGGCACTGTCCACTTGGGCCTGCTCGGTGCCCATGCCCAAGGCTTTTGGGCTCTGCGGGTTTCAACTGTCAACTCAACTCTGAAAACATCAGCACAGCCAGGCCTGGGGAGCTCAATGGGGTGAGAAGCCTCAGATGTGCCTCTGAAAGTCTTTTCAAAGGGCCTCAGGCCTGGGGGCAGGGTTGGTGCAATAATAATAAAATAACATTTGCATAGAGATTCCGTTTACAAAGCACTTTCTCAGGAGAGCAGTGGAGGCTCTGGGTGGCCCGTGGAATCCAGGCAGGAGGCTGGCCTGGCCAGTGTGGATCCTCCCCCAGCAGAGCTCGGGTTTGTGTACCAGTGAGACAAAGCTTCATTCATGGCCTGCTTCCCTCTCCTCTGGGCCTCTGTCCTTCCTCCTTCGCTTCCTGAAAGCGACTTGTCACTCACACAGAACAGGGGTGTCCTCGAAGCGGGTGACTGAGACCCTCTGCACCCCCTGGGCCCCCTGAACCTGGGTAGAATGGGGGCGACCCAGCTGGGGGTGGTCTGTGTGGTTCCAGGTTTGCTCACCTGAGCTGCATCTTCAGATACAAAGGCTGCGCACAGGGGTGGGCGTTTGTACAGGTGTGTGCGTTTAGTAATCCTGGCTACCAGATAAGCCGTGTGGGGCTGTGCTGGGGCGTCTGTGTCTGCATCGTGGTGGGGGTGGTGGTGAGATGACTGCACCCCACTCCTGTGTGTGGCCCCAGTTACAGAGCAGCCTGAGGTCACCTGGGGCGAGGTGAGGAGGATGGTGGCCCCTGGCCCCTTAACGCCCCGGATGAGTTATATAGGGCCCACCTGAGGGGCTCCGGCTCCAGAGCTGAGCAGAAGATGCAGGAGGTCATTGCGGGTCTGGAGCATTTCACGTTCGCCTTTGAGAAGGATGTGGAGACTCAGAGGGGCACGGGGCTCCTGCCTTTCCAGGGAATGGACAGTGAGTGGACACAGGCTGGCACCCAGGCCCAGCCCAGCCCAGCCCCTGGGGACCACAGCCCCTTCCCTCTGGCTTTCAGTTCTACCCACCAGGGGAGCTGGGAAGAGGGCTTGGGCCCAGCCTCTGGGAGGGGTCCCCAAATCTACTTCTTTACTTCTTAAACTCTTATGTCACCCCTGGACTCTGGGAGAAGGGGCTGCCCATTTTCCACACTGGGCAGAGAGGAGCGGAACAGTGGGAACCTGGGGTGACTAGTTTGGGCTTTGGGGCAGCCTTGGGGTCCTCCCGCTCCTCTGTTTGGGAGGTGGGGGGACTTAGGTGTTGAGGCTTAGAGGCTAGCCAAGCTGGGGTGGGGGTGGGGGGCAACAGGCCCGTGCCTGGAGAAGCTCAGGGGGTCAGCTGACGAGGTGGTCTCTTCTCCATCTGCTCTCTGCAGAGTCGGCCGCAGCAGTGTGCAACTACTTCTGGAAAGGTCTTTGTGGGAAAGGTGAGTGAACAGGGAGGCTCCACACCACACTGGCTCAGCGGAGGCCCGCCCTGACCTGGAATGAGGACGGGTGCTGGCAAAACACTGGCTTTATTTGAAGACAAAGGATGTGTGGGTGGGTGGGCTGTTCTCTGTCTGGGCAGCGTGTGGAGGGGGAAAACCGGGCTACCAGGTAGGGACTGTGTCTTCCTCCTGTTTTACTGGGGACCCGGAGGGCTGTGTGCTTTCTGTGTGGCTTTAGACACCCTAGCCAAGAGAGTTGTTATTGTTTGTTGTTGATTGCCCTCGAGTTGAGCACGACTCATCACAACCCTATGAACAAAAGGCCTGAAGCCCCTCTACAATTATCAAGGTTTATCAAAGTTCATAGAGTTTCTGGAGGCATGTTGTTTAGGAAGTGGATGCCACTCTTGCTTCCAAACCTGTCATAGAATGTTAAGAGAGTGAATACCCCCAACTCCTGGCTTCTTAGGTCCCACCCTGCCTGTGCCCCAACAGAGCCCTGGCCACTCATGAAAGGCCCCCTCCAGCACCTCACTTTCCCCACTCCGCCATTGAGATTAAACTGTCCCGCTTCCTAAACGCCTCTCCCCAGTCCAGCCATTCTCAGGGAGCCTGACTTAAACATTGTTAGGTTAGGTTAGTGGACTTAAAGAAGAAATCAGAAAGAACGAGAGAAAGCTTAATGCAGCTTTATTAAAGGGAGGAAGGGGAGCTTCCGGGTGAGTTCCTCATCCTGGAGAGGCAGAATGGGAAGTCACACTGTGAACGTACTGGGGAGGATTTTTATAAACAGAATCTTTAAGGAAGGACATTCCATTCTGATTTAGGAGCCACCTGCTAGCTTAGCCAGACAGGCAAGGCCGTTTTCTTATCAGCAACAAGCAAGGTTGTCAGCATTTTAGTTCTGAATTCTTCATTCTTCTCTTTGGCCCTTTTTGCCCAGACGAACAAACATATGTGCTATTTTCTTTTTTAAATTTTTCTTTCCTGGTTCAGGAAACCAAAGCCCTACCTTCAATCTGGAGGGTTTCCTAGGCTTGGCTGTAGAGGTGGATTAAGAATCCAGCTGGTGTGAGTGAAGTTAGAGGAGGCCCAAGGAGCGCCAGTCCAAGGTGGCACAGCAGGGTTAGCTCTTGGACTGCTAACCGAAAGGTTGGGAGTTTGAACCCACCAGCAGCTGCTTTGCAGAAGAAAGATGAGGCAGTGTACTGTGAGGTTTCAACTCTAAATGATGAACTTAATTCCACTGAGTCAGACCCAACCCATAGCTGACCCTCCGGTGAGTTTTCAAGACTGGAAATCCCATGGGAGAAGACTGCCCATCTTACAGGACTGCTAGTGAATTTGAACCACCGCAGAATGTGACCATCTGTGTTAGCAATACAACTCCTAATACCACATGACCAGAGCTCCCTTCTGTGAAGATCTCGACCTCAGAGGCCCTGGGGTCGGGGGCGGGCAGCTCTGCTCTTCTCTGTCCTGCAGGGTTGCTGGGGAGGGGCGGGGCCAGAAATCGACCCACTGGCAGTAGGTGTGAGGTCCTGATGGTTCTGCCCCCGTGGAATCTGGGTGGTCCTGGAGATGTGCTGGCCTCTGTGATTGATTCTGCCCACAGCCTGGGGCTGGTGTGGTGGGAGTGAGCCCACTGGGCAGCCAAGCTCCTTCTGGAGCTAAGATGCTGTCCCCAGCACACTGCCACCTCCAAAGCTCCTGGAGAGGAGACCTGGTGCCGACAATGAGATGAGTCTAAGAACTAAACTGGTGGGAGGTCAGATCTAAGCCGGCAGTGGCCAAGGGGAGCGGTGGAGGGTGGTCTTGCGTGGCATAGATTCTGACTCTCGGAATCCCAGTAGGACAGTATAGAACTGCCCTGTGGGGCCTCTGGGGATGTGCTCTTTATCCACATTGACCTGATGATGCAATGATTAAGCACTTGCTGTTACAGAAAGGCCAGTGATTTAAAGCAACCCCCGTGGAGGAAGGCATGGAGATCTGCCTCCATGAAGATTGTTGTGAAGTGCTGTCTAGTTGGACCCTACTCGTCACTGATCCTCCAGCAGGTTTTCAGACGCAGCATTGGTGCAGGGGGAGATCACCCATCTTCCTCACTTGGGGTAGATGGTGGATTCGAACCACATGCATTTGAGTTGGCAGCATTATCTCCTTACCACTAAGCCACCCAAGCTCCCTTTCACAAAGTTTACAGCCAGAATCTCCTACAAACCTAAACCTATTGCAGTCAAGTCAATCCCACCTCATAGAGACCCTCCCTCCCTCTGTTTTCTGAGGCTGTAAATCTTTCTGGAAAGAGAAGGTCCGTCTTTCTCCTGGTGAATCTGAGTTCTCAAGGTTTTGGCTAACAAGGCAACGTGCAGTGCACCACACAGCCAGGGTTTCCGAAAAAGCCGGTCTTGTCTGTTCTAGACGGTTGCTAGGAGCGACAGTTGACTCAATAGGAACGTGTTTAATCTTTAGAGAAGCAGAGTGACCTGTCTTTCTCCCAAAGAGTGGCAAGTGGCTTTAAACTATCGACTCTGGGGTTACTACATCACCACGGCTCTTGACAATGGCCAAGAGTTGGGGGAGGTGGCATATTAGCAGAGGACCCCTCCCAGGTCCCCTCCCTACCAGAAGAGTTGGCTGCCATGAGGCCGGGACTGCTTGGACACGTGGCATTGACTGGGACGTCTTTTCTGCTGGTGGCCCTGCCACTGTCGCAAAGACGGAGAGTAATTAACCTGAACATTCGTGTAGGATCCTTGCTGTGAGTCAAACGCTTGGCTCTTCCGTCATCACGTTTCCGGGATCAGGAAGCGCAGTGTTTGTTTTTTCTGAAGATGTGAGTTCAATGAGCCTTGTGAACACGTACGCACAGAGTGCTGGGCTTTGGGGCTGCTCTGGGCTGAAACCACAGGACAAGCCGGGAGGAGGGTCTGTGGGGGCCAGAGACCACTCACCCATCAGAGAAAGGACAGGCTGGACTTGCCGAGAAGGGAGAACTCAGACAAGGAGAGAGGCCTGAGCAAAGGCTGGTGATGGGCAGAGCTGTCCAAGAATTCTGTATATCCTTTTTGACACCCTGACTGATGGCACAATGGTAGAACTCTCACCTTCCACCCAGGAGACCTGGGTTCTATTCCCGGCTGTGCACCTCATCCAGAGTCACCACCCCTCCCCAAGCTGTCCATGGAGGTTTGCATGTTGCTGTGATACAGAGGGCAAGACGAAGCTTTGTCTCTCATGCATTGGGTGTGCTCTTAGGAGAGATTATTCCTTGGAGAAGGACATCATGCTTGGAAAGGTGGAGAAATGGAGGGGAGAGGAGGACCTTCAGCCGGGTGAACTGACACGGTGACTGCAGCAGTGGGCTCCAGTGTGTCACAGACTGTGACGTTCACAGCACAGGACAGGGTTCAGGCCTGTTGTTCGTAGGGTCGCTATGAGTCGTACTGTTCTCAATGTCGCCTAACCACAACATGACACGGAATAGGGTTCAGCAGAGCTCCCTGGCTAAGACAGACCAGGAAGAAAGGTCTGGCAATCTACTTCCCCAAATCAGCCACGAAGTCTGCAGAGACCACCGCGGTCTGCTCTGCAGTAGCCCCTCAAGGCACTGGTAGCTCTTCAATCCCTCATTTAAGGGCTCACCAGGAGTTGGGGACCAATGACAACCACCAGGAGCTGAGGGGGAGGAAGGGAGAAGGCACAGCTTAGGGGTGGGCCCCCATGCTCCGGAGAAAGCCCTCAAGGGGTGAGCCGGGCACAGGCTGAGGGTGGACGCTCCAATGTTCCCAGGTAAGCGCTGCCCCTTCAGGCACGACAGCAGCGGGAAGAAGGTCGTCTGCAAACACTGGCTGCGAGGCCTGTGCAAGATGGGTGACCAGTGCAAGTTCCTGCACCAGTACGACGTCACCAAGATGCCCCAGTGCTACTTCTTCTCCAAGTTCGGTGAGGTCCAGCATGGGGAGGGGGTGGAAGCAGGGCCCAGGGGGCAGGTGGTGGATGGAGCTGTGAGCTCTGCTCCGAGACTGTCTAGAAATGAGGCCCAGTGGGCTCTCAGGTGGGTCGCAGGCTGGTGACATCCACAAACCTGCACTTGCAGTATGAAATTTCCAAAGACTTGCCATTTATGATGTCTTATTTTAGAGGGAAAACCCCGACTTGACAGTGTTTCCCTCAATGGGAAGGTGGTGTCACTTGCAGGAAATAAAAGGTGTCTGTAAATATAGGACCATGAGGCTGAGAAGAGCCTCCACTAGTTTCTAATAGTGCCACCCTTCAGGAATGACCACATCACCTCCCCTGTGGCCCCAAGTCTCTCACTGGTCATCTAAAGGGCCATTTGGGAGGGAGCCACACACACTGTCTGCCTCCTAAAAGAATGGACTCAGCCAATCCTTAGGTGGTATGATCAGGGAACATGTTACGTTGCTATAATTGAAAGGTTGGAAGTTCGAATCTACCCAGAAGCACCTCAAAAGACTGGAACCTGTAGATAGGTTCCAGCTCTCTTCCTTCCTAATGATCTTCTACAACCCAGCGCTACTTGGAGCTGGAAGCAGCCATAACCATCAACAACTGTGGCTGTTCTGAACCATTGAGTCAGACCCGACCCGCAGCTGACCCTTCAGTGGGTTTTCAGAGGCAGAAAATCACATAGGGTGAGACTGCTCATCTTTTTCCCATGGAGCAGTTAGTGGATTCGAACCATGTGCCTTTGGGTGCACAGTGCGATTTCTTACCACTGAGCCACCAGAGCTCCCCAAATGGTCCAGTGCTTTTCAAACTGTAATAAAGAATTAGCTGGCTGGAGAGATTCTGCCATGATGCCATTGACTTAGCGGGCAACTCAGGGGCCAGAGGCCACTGTCTCTTACCTGGGAGCAGGAGGGGAGGGTCCTGGGTATGTGGGAAGGAGGCAAAGTCTTCCCTAAGCCAGCAAGAGGCTGACCAGACCCAAATTCCACTTCCTGCTGCTGCCTCAGAATGCTGGGCCTGGCAGCCCGAGAGTGACGCACAAGGCTTCCTTTAAAGAAAGGGCTGAGTTTCTCTGGGGCTCGCTTCTCCATGCTCGGGGATCCCCTCTGCTGCTTTTTTAGTCTCTAACCTTGATTAAAGGCAGTTTTCCTTTGGGGGTAGAACACTGGGCGGGGGTGGGGGGGGAAGGAAGATGACCCTTCCACCCTGGAATGATAGATTAAGATAGAGATAAAGGCAAACCTTAAATGGAGATTTTAGACTTTTGTTCTTAGAACAAATGAATCTCTCTGTCCAACATGATTCTTAAAGGATCATCCTTCTTAAATCCCAGGATGGTGCAAAGGGTTAATACGCTTGGCTGCCAACTAAAAAGACTGGCAGCTCAATTCCACCTAGAGGCATTTTGGGAGAGAAAGTTCTGGTACTCTGCATCTGTAAAGTCCACCGCTCAAAGCCCTCTGTGCCTGGGATGTGGTGTCAAAACGCAAAAGGGGGCCTTGGACAGTTCTGGAAGGTAGGGATTGGTGAATGGGGCGCGCACGCCTCCTGCTGGCCATGTGGGGAATGGAGGCAGGTGAGGCTCAGCTGTCTCAGGTAGATAAGTAACCCGCTGAACAGCCCACATTATCTCCACCTGTCAAATGCTGATCTACCCCAAGAGGGGAAGTCCTTTGACTTCCTAGAAGGCTCCACACCAGACCCAGACCTCCACAAAATGCTGTCTCTATTGAAGAGCTGGCCAGCAGAACAGATGGGCCACCTCCTTTCTCTGTGTTCAGGTGGCTTCATCAGAAGCCTGGGAAGGAAGGGCAGGTTACACCCCACCCCCCTGCCTGGGAAGCAGCAATCCTCTTCAGGGGAATGCTTGATTTGCAGAAGCTCAATGTCGAAGGAAGTCTTGTATCACAGTTTGAAAACTGCTGAAATAGAAACTTAATGGAAATCCTTTCAGCTCTGAAAAGAACTAAATTATCAAGTTAAAGGAGGATGGAGGCCTTGGGACTTGTCATTAATCCTCTACTTGAATGAGGTGAAAAGTAGTCTCTAACTCCAGAGTACTGAAGAGCAACGATGTCAGACTAGAGACTAAGGTGCACCTGATCTGGGCTATAGTCTTCGCAGTTGCGTGCTATGCATCAGAGCTACACAGTGACTAGGGATGATGGCAAACTGATGCCTTTGAGCTGTGGTGCTGGAGAAGAGTGTTGAATATACCATGGACTGCTAGGAGAACAAACAGGTTTGTCCTGGAGACGGTGAAGCTGGCCTGCTCCTTGGAGGCAAGGATTCTGAAGCTTCGTCTGACGTACTTTGGGCATGCTTCAAGGAGGGACCAGTCCTTGGAGAGGGACATCATGTTTGGGAGAGTGGAGGGACGGCGCAGGAGAGGAAGACCCTCAATGAGATGCATCAATCCAGTGACTGGGGTAGTGGGAATAGGCGTGTTGGAGACAGTAAGATTGGCAAGGGATAGAGCAGTGTTTAGGGCTCTTCTTGTACAGAGGGTCGCTATGAGTCGCAGGTGACTTGGTGGCTCATAACAACTCCTGTGAGGAACCGGAAGGTTCTTCTAACCCCTTCTAAGAAACCTGTGTCCTAAGGGCATCTCAGATGAGGTCTTAGTGGGAGCCATGGGCAGATGACAGCACAAGTTCAGGTTAAGTACGGTGACCCTCTGATACCAGCCATCCTCATGTCTGTGCTGGTGGAGTTCGAAGCCACTGTGCTAACTCCCACTCATCGCAACCCTTGAACAACAGATGGATTCCTGAGCATGGGCACATTCTCCTCCATGGTCAAGTGCACTGTGGCAGTCTCTGTGTGGGTCCATCTCGCTGAGTCTTCCTCTCTTTCACGCCTTACCTTTCCCAACATAATGTCTTTTACCAAAGGAGTGGCCCCATTTGAAAATACATCCAAAGTATGTGAGATGAAGTTTCACCCTCTCTTGCCTTTTTTTTTAAAATAAAAAACCAAATTATATTGGTTTGCATACAAAGTTTGTATACATTGTGTTTCACACTATCCTTCACTCACATTGTCTTTCATACAACCATTCCCATAGATTGTTGTTGTTATGTGCCACTGAGTCACCTGCAATTCATAGCGACCCTATGTACAACAGCTCTAAACTCTGCTCTGTCCTGTGCCAATCAGTTGCCCTCTCTGTTAGTCTATGTGTGTTCTGTTGTACGTAGGGTTTTCAGAGGCCTGCTATTTCGGAAGTGGATGGCCAATTCTTCTTCCTAGTCTGTCTTAATATGAATGTTCAGATTTAGAGGAGTATCTGACAGACGTTATGTTTCATAAAATTAATCACCATTGAGCTATGTTACTCTGTCTTTCCACATCCCCGCAGGATCAGGAGTGCCCAGCCTGTGCTTGTCCAAGGCTGACTGACTTGTTCACACTTTGACAGTCCATGACACTCTCCACAGTTCTAACACAGAAATTTACCCTGCGCCAGCCTGTAGTCACGCGCCCTACTGTTGCTGGCACCATCACCAGTGAGAACTCTTCCTGGGGCTCTGAAGGAGGAGTGGGGCGAGGTGAGGAGAGGGCTTTAGGGCGAGCACGCTGTGGTCGTCACCCAGAGCTGCAGGTCCAGGCCCGCCTGGCCTCTGCTTGCTCTTTCATTCCTGCTGGCCACTTACTGTCCTCTCTTCTAGCCCTTGTGGATATCTGGCCCGTGCTCCAACTCTTCCAGATGTGTTTATGCAAACCCACGCCCCACTTAGCAAATGACCACCAAGAAGAGACGCCCTTAAGTGACAGGAAGGATTAGAAAGATCTTGTTTTCAAAAGCTGCTGGAGTTTAGAAGCCGAGTGGTTTCTATGCGAGGATACAGCTTGGGGTCGGGAGCAGGGCCCTAAGATGCGATCACTTCCATCCTTCATTGGCGCACAAAAAGCTGGCGGAAATAGCAATGCTTTTGGTGATAGTGTGTAAAAGCTGCAAAAGCCAAAGCCTGTGTAAGGTGGAAACATGCAGAGAAGGAAGGCTGCCTAGGGGGAGACAGGAGCCTGAACACAGCGATAGGAAGGTGGTGAGATGTTCCCTGTCAAAAGCAGAAGGCTTGTGAGGCCTGGGAAAGTGGGAATGCACCCTGGTTTCACACAAACCCCCGGGAGCCTGCTTGGGGATGGAGTGATGTCATTTCCAGGTGACTGCAGTAACAAGGAGTGCCCCTTCCTCCACGTGAAAGCAACTTCCAGGACCCAGGACTGTCCTTGGTACAATCAAGGGTTCTGCAGCCAAGGTGAGGACTTGAGGGGCACATTGAAGGTGTGGGTGCTGGAGGATTCCCAGCAGGGCAGGGAGCATTCCTGGGGAGGGCTTGTAGGGTTCACCCCCTGAGTTGGATCCTACAGCAGATCTTCCTTGGGGTCTCCTCTCCTGTGTACAGGTCCCCTGTGCACGTACCGCCACGTCCAAAAAGTGATGTGCATTAATTACTTGGCGGGCTTCTGCCCTGAGGGACCCAAGTGCCGCTTCGCACAGTAAGTACCTTCCTCCATTGCCACAGCCCAGCGCGTGCCAGACCCACCTTCCCGCTTCCCTGCTACTGAATCCAAAAAGTCAGGATCCTTCTGGCTTCGGTAGAAAGTTCAGGGTCTGGCCAGCTGCTTCCTGTAGTGCTGCTGGCCTTGCTGCCCTGCTCCAGCCCCAGAACACAGCTGTTGGCTGTGCCGAAGGCCAGTCCAGCCCAGCCCAGGAGCGGGTTATCACGTGGGCAAAGGGCGATAGTGCTAGAACCTCGCTGACATGTTCCCCACCCTCCTCTCCAAACTCTGTTCTAAGAGTTCCTACTCCCGGCAAAAGGAAGGGTGTCTTCTTCCCTTGTGGGTTTTGCATCATAAGGTCTGTAGCAGGCGGCCGGATGGTGCCGGCTTGTCGGTGGACAGGGGACAGGAGGACCAGAGCTGGGCTGTAATGGTCTCTCTCTGTCCACCCCTCAGTCCCAAGATGAAGTTCTCCCTCAGTCCGAGTCCCGTGAAGGTGAGTGCATGCTGGACCTCACCTCTGTGCTGGTCACTGTCCCCCAGGACACACTGGTCCCCGCGGACCTTCATCTTCCCGCATGGCCTGCTCTCACCTGACAAGTCAGCCTCCATCACTGGGCGGAGCACGTGGGGGGACTTGCTCCTCTCAGACCCACTTCCACCCTCTGTGATCACCACTTCCAGCCTGCCTTCTCCTTAGTTAGACGCATGGACATCTTGTCTAAGACAAGGGGTCCCCAGTGTGGATTTGCTTTCCCAATCAGCGTCATCTTGGTTGGACCCAGGCCTCGGATACCCTTTGTGTGGATGCTCCTTCCATCAGGAGTCTCCAAACTCTCACCCTGGGGCCAGATCTAGCCCCTGGCCTGTGCTGACCTGTACAGTTAGCGAGCTAGAGACAATTTGTTTTTCCAATTTGTTTTGTTCTCACCAAACTCATGGCTGTAGGTGATTCCAACTCACATGGGCCAAAATATGCATGATGCGGAAATGACCTTGACTGATGGTCTAGTTCTCTGCTGCATAGCACTGGAAAGACTGTGGCCTGAAATCAGGCACACCTTAGTCCTCAAACTGACATCATGGCTCTTCACTAAAGTGGAGAGGTTAAGTGTGATAAGTTTGGACAGTGACTGAATAAGGATGGCAGAGTAATTGATGGCCTTTGGGCTGTGGTGTTGGAGAAGAGTACTAAACACCCCATGAACTGGTAAAAGAACAAACAGGTCTTGGAGAAGGTGCAGCCAGAATGCTCTTTGGAGGCAAGAAAGACAAAGCTTCATCTCACATACTTTGGCATGCTGCTAGGAGAGGTTATTCCTTGGAGAGGGACGTCATGCTTGGAAAGCTGGAGGGTTGACAAAAGGCAGACACTCAGGCAGATAGATTGACACAGTGACTGCAGCAATGGGCTGGATATGCCAGCGATTGAGAGGATGACACAGGAGAGGACAGTGCTCAGGTATGTTCACAGGGTCGCTCTGAATCGTACTCGACTTGACAGCACCTAACAATAACCACCACATAGTCAAAAAGGCACTTTATTGCTTTATTGACTCTGCAAAGGCATTTGACTGTGTGGATCATGACAAGCTGCGGATGGCATTGAGAAGAATGGGAATCCCAGAGCACTTGATTGTGCTCATGCAGAACCTATACCTGGATCAGGAGGCCGTTCTGCAAATGGAGCAGGGGAGCACTGCATGCTTTGGAATCGGGAAGGGAGTGCGTCAAGGTTGTAGTCTCTCTCCATACCTATTCAATCTGTATGCTGAGCAAACTACCCAAGAAGCTGGACTCTATGAGGAGGAGTGTGGCATCAGGATTGGAGGGAGACTCATCAATAGCTTGCGTTAAGCAGATGACACAACCTTGCTTGCTGAAAGTAGTGAGGGCTTGACGAACTCGTTGCAGAAGATCAAGAAATGCAGCCTTCAGTATGGATTGCATTTCAACGTTAGGAAAATGAAGAGTCTTATCACTCGTGGATGGAGAGGAGACTGAGTCTGTCAACAGCTTCATCTTGCTTGGATCCACAATTAACACCCTTGATAGCAGCAGTCAGGAAATAAGGAGACACATTGCACTGGGAAAATCTGTACTTAAGGACCTTTTCAAATTATTGAGGAGTAATGATATCAGTTTGAGGACTGAGATGTGTCTGATTCAGGTCATAGTCTTTCTGATTACTAGCTATACATCTGAGACCCGGACAATGAATAAAGATGACAGAAAAAGAATTGATGCCTTTCAAGTTGGAGAAAAGCACTGAACATCCCATGGACGGCCAAAAGAATGAACAGATATGTCTTGGAGAGGGTGTAGCCGGAGTGCTCTTTGGAGGCAAGAATGATGAGGCTTCGCTTCACATACTTCAGACATGTTGCTAGAGGTGCTATTCCTTGGAGAAGGACGTGATGTTGGGAAGGTTAAAGAGTCGGCGAAAGAGAGGAAGACCATCAACCAGGTGGATTGACACGGTGACTGCTGCTGTGGGCTCTTGTGTGTCAGGAAGTGTGAGGATGGCGCAGGATAGAACAGGGTTCAGATCTTTTTGTTCATTGGGTTGCTATGAGTTGTGCTCAACTTGACGGCCCCTAACACCACCACCACCATGGAAATGATGGGAAATCTACCTTGAGGGCTGGAGCTGTTTCACGGACGTGCTGCAGGCTCGCTCATGTGCATACAGTCTTCTGTTACTTTGATGCTACAAGAGCAGTGTTAAGGAGTTGTGGCCCCGTCCCTGTAAGGGCCCACAAAGCCTAAAAGAATTATAAACTTGTCCTCTACGGAAAAAGTGTGCTGGTTTCCGATCTAGGTAGCTGAATGGTGGACTGGCATTTGTCTGAGAAGACATACCAGGACTGTGAGCACAGGGGTGGCTTGTTCACGCTGTGAGCTTAGGTCCGCAAAGGATGCAGAGGGAGGCCTGGTACCCAGAGGCTGGGATGCCAACCCTGGAGGAGGGCGACCCCTGCTGGTTCTGAGGGAGAAGCATCCTCAATGCCTCACTCCTGTGGTCGAGATGGAATTGACTCATAACTGATGCACCTTTGGCTTTGTGATGCTGTAAATGGCACAGAAGGAGTGTTCCCGTCTTTCTCCCTCAGAATGCTCGTAGCTTCAAGCCACCAGAAAGGCATGCACGGCCTTGGAGTTAACAGCACAACTCCTATGGAGTGCTACTGATGAAAGTTAGGCATCAACGTTACCCACTGAAAATCCACAAGCTCATATCTAACTTCCATCTGGAGACGGGCCATTGAAACTAAACCGAGGGCCTTCCCAAGCCTGGGTTTAGAGTGCCTGAGGGGCCTCTGTCCTCGCTCTTTTGAGTCCAGATGCCAGGCACCTGCCTTGGCTGTTTCTCCCCCATTTTGATTTTTCTCTGCAGGCTGTAGACTGGTCCTTGGACTCCGTGTCCCCCGGCACGATGCCCTCCCTGGGAGAGAGCTGGTTTCTCCAAATGGGGGCTCAGGAGGAGGTGTGGACCACCTGCCTGAGGCTCTGGCCTCTGCACCAGGACCTGTGCTACAAGGTAAATGAGAGGACCCAGGAGGGCTGAGGGTCCAGGGAATGGCAGTGACCGTGAGCTGGAAAAGAAACAAAAGAAACCTAGAAAATGGAGTGATGACTCCCTTATGCAACAGGTAGGGGGGGAAATGTAAAGGGTTTAGGACTTGTGAGCATGTATGGGGAGAGAATAGGGTGCACTGTGACGTCCCTAGGAAAAAAATATAACGGGTTTAGGACTTGTGAGCGTGAATCGGGAGAGAATAGGGTCCCTAGGTGTGAGGTCCCTAGGTGGGTGGCACACGTTTGCTCTTGGCTCAAACTCAAAACACACCCATTGTTAGAGCTGACTGCACTGTGGTTGCAAGGCTACAGCTCACATAGGATGAGGCTGCCCATCTTTCTACTGAGAAGCAGCCCACAGATTGAACCACCAGAAGAGAGGTGGCCTTAGAAGTGCAAGTCCCTAAGGTCGAGGCTATCTGAGATTCTTCTGCTCTTGGCTGTTGACCAAAGGGCTGGCAGTTCGAACCCACCCAGAGGCTCTGTGGGAGAAAGGGCCTGGGGAGACTCTCTGGGGCTCCGTTTGGCTCTGGAACGAGCTCACCATGAGTCAGAATCATTTTTGTTTCACTTTTGCCCATCTGTCTTGGGCCAATGAAGTAAATTCCATGTAGTGCATCCTGTACCACTTGTCTGTCATCTGTCCGAGAAGACTGTGTGATAAGGTGAATAATGTCACACTTTGCTGCTTCAAGTTCCATGTCATTCACGTGTACTTGTCCTTCAGATTCAGGGTGAACTTGAAAAGTGGGGACTCTGAACTCTGACTTTCTGCCACCTTACCAAGAGGAAAAATATGTTTTCTCTCATCTCAATGAGACAGCATTTCAATTATCCTGAGCTTTGATTTCTCATTTCTGCAAGAGAGTCACTATTTCACCCTGAGCTAAGCGAGGTGACATCCCTAAGTCTCATGCATGTTTGCTTTTCCTGGTCTTGTTCTCTGGCAAAGTCAGGGCTGGTCTTGAAGGATCTGAAGGCCCTTTTCCAGGCTGGAAATGGATGGAGCTTCTCTCCTGACCAGAAACCATCAAATCCTTGGAAAGCCAGCTTCTAGGGAGCGAACTACTCCCTCGACAGTGTCATCTTTCTCGTGATTTACATTTTCAGGAAATGCCATGTCGTTAATCTTTTTTTCTTTTCAGTGTCAAGAAATGGGCCATAGTGCCAACAAATGCTCTAAGGTGGCCTGGGCAGGCCTGAACAGAAAGCAGCATGTGGTCAGGGAGACTGGAAGCTCCGCTGTTGAAGATGTCTGGTGGCCAGACTACGGGGCTCTCTGCTCCCAGGTCTCTGGCGTCAGCCCCCTGATACTGTCAACAGGACACAGAGCACAGAAGCAGCCCACTCCGGTCAGGCTGGCTTCCTTACATCCTGTAAGTGATACACCCGCATCGGAGGCAGACGGAGTGACTGTGGCAGCTCTTTAGGACGTAGAAGAGCAAAATAAATGCAAGACCAAAAGCCAGCGTGTACCGTAGGCACCTAATTATTGGCCTTTGCTTCACTCCCGTGCTGTTAGTAGGATCGGGGCTGCATTTGCAGTTCCCTGTGCATACGGCCTCCTGAGCTGCCACAGACGATTAAACCAAGTGTTTTCTTTAGCATGACAGCTGCTTCCTTGCATGGCTCATTTACATTTAAGGGCGGGTTCAGGTGGGGTAAGACGGCGACGGTGCAAACAGGATGGGGGAGGCACAGAAGTGGAACGCTGAATGTTATTGTCCTTGCTGTCATGAAAGTTGGGGACCCATGCGGTTCCACCACCTGGACGGGAGGGCGGAGCTGAAGGGAATCTTCTGGAAGAATTCAGGAAGAGTGACTCCAGGCGGGTAGGAGTGGGGATTGTCATGGTGCCTGTGGCAGACGAGGAGGGGAGCAGGACGGGGGGGTGGGGGGTGCTGTGGTGTGACACGCGAAGACGCGCTGGTGGGACCAGAGATGCTGTGTGTGGCCTGCTCTGTGTGGCACCCAGCACCACACAAGCACCTGAGTGTTAGTGGTTAGTGTCAGGGGTGGTGTGGATGGCGCGGCGTGGCCTCTCCTGCGTCTCAGGCTCTGCTGTGTGGATGGTGGCATGGCGTGGCCTCTCCTGCTAGTGTCGGCTTCAGGCTCTGTTGTGTCTGCTGTCATGTTCTAACTGTGCCTCACACCCGGCTGGAAGGGGCTGCTAACTTCTCATCTCCCCACTGCTCGGCAAACTCGACACCCTCGACGTGGACCCGACTCACAGCTGACCTTCCACTGGGTTTCCGAGGCTGCAGATCGCTTAAGACCACCCATTTTTCTTCTGTGCAGCAGCTGGTGGATTTGAACTAACAGACGCGGCCTTCCTGTTAGCAGGCCCCACCACCAGTACTCCCTTTTCCAGTCTCTGCAGTCGTTGTTAGGGGCCAGTGAGTGGCAGTAACTTAGAGCAGGCTTGTGAATCACACAGGGGATGGGGGGGGGGGTTCTGCTCACACCATGGTCCAGTCGAGGTTCCAATAAACAAGGTAGCTTGTAAGGGCCCACCCCGTCACAGGTCGGGTCAAGGAGGAATGCGTGCAGGGAAGGGACTGGAGGGTCTGTACACCAGAAGAGAGGCTTCCAGAACCAGTGGCAGAGAGGGACCCCAGGGCCAAGATCGTATCACACTGATAACCCAACAAAAGGATTTTTTTAAATTAATTTCAATTTTTTTAAAATTAGCATTTTCTTATTCTACAAGTATTCTGTTATTTCACGGAAAATTGCCTTATGATTACTAACTTTTAAATATGTGTAATGCATTTTTTAGAGTAGGCTTAAATGTATAATGAATAAATGAATTAATAAAAATTAAGTTATAATTTTAAATATCCAGATGAAATAACATTTATTGTTTATACCACCATTCACTTTTTAAAAAATTTATTTAAATTTATTATTTCAGAAAAAATTTACAGAGACTTTGGATTTCCATTCATTCATTGTTGCACTTTTCTCCCCTCCCAAGCCTCCCCCCTAGTACACTACCATCTTGGAAAAGTAAAACAAAAATTATTTCATTGTTTTACAAACCCTCCCCCAGGTCCACTCCACCATGTAGCCTTCGCTCTAGACTCCTGTCATGACAAAAATACCTAATCACATAGCCCTTTTAAACAGTTTTATCCCTCATCTGTTTCAATGCAGTGCATTATTTGGGAGAGTCAAATATGTTCAAGCACGTTATAAAAAGCTTGGCTTCCCCAGTAATCCTAGTGTTTCAGATGTTAACGAGCAGAAAACAGCAGTGGCCAGTGTGATCACGGAGCATGTGTGTCACAGCTGGTGGCCAGTGTGATCAGAGCATGTGTATCATGGGCGGTGGCCGGTGTGATTGCTGTGCAAGGACCTTGTGTTTCAGGGCCGAGTGGTCAGTGTGATCATGGACCATGTGTCATGGCTGAGTGGTCAGTGTGATCAGAGCATGTGTGTCATGGCTGGGTGGTCAGTGTGATCGCCGCGCATGGAGCACGTCCATCATGGCCGGGTGGTGTGATCACAGAGCCTGCGTGCCACGGCTAGATGACCAGTGTGATCACAGAGCATGTGTATCGTGGCCGGTGACCAGTGTGATCACAGAGCATGTGTATCGTGGCCGGTGACCAGTGTGATCACAGAGCATGTATATCGTGGCCGGTGACCAGTGTGATCACAGAGCATGTTTATCGTGGCCGGTGACCAGTGTGATCACAGAGCATGAGTGTCAAGGCCGGGTGGTCAGTGTGATCACAGAGCCTGCGTGTCACGGCTAGATGACCAGTGTGATCACGGAGCATGTGTATCGTGGCCGGGTGACCAGTGTGATCGCCGCGCACAGAGCACGTCTATCGTGGCTGGGTGGCCAGTGTGTCTGAACATTCATCTTCAACTTTCTGCAACAGAACCTTCACTGAGGTCTTCAGAGGATGGGGAGCAGTAGAGGGCTGACGTGCTCCCTGAGAACTGATGGGCAGGTGCTGTGGGTGGTTTGCACTGATGTTGCTGGACGACCTCTGGCTCACCTGGGGAGCTCCCCTCAGGTCACCGAAGAGGTGCAGCAAGAGGGGAAGCGGAGACCTGAGGGCGAGTCTGTTCAAACACTTCCCTGCCGCCTCTCCCCTGGGCCTTGGGCTCTGCCTCCGGCCAGTGCCTCCTGCCTCAGCAGTCAAGTTCTCTTTTGTCCAGCTTAGTTTGGAAAAGAACCTACAGTCACTCTCCTGGGCTGCTCAGACCATGTGCCCGGTCGGGTGTCTGTGTGTATGGCTAGCATAGCCTCGCGGAGCAAGCTGACATCAACACTGCACACTGGAGCTATGACGTGTCATCCTTGGTCACACTGAGACTGTCTGGGTCTGAATCTAGAAAAAGGACCACTTTGTTAGAAGACTGTCTCAATGACTCACTTAAAGAGGTCGTCTTTTCCCAAAGAAGGCAGGCAGGAGCAGTTGGGGGGGGACCTGTGTGACATCACCCCAAAACTCCAGAATCCAGGCGGATCCAGAGGCTCCTCAGTGTCTCCCGTCAGTTTTGGTTCTAATGGAGAGAAATGAGGTCACTGTGCCCCTTCTCACTGGTGGTGCTGTAAGGACCTCTCGTGGCCTGGTCCCTGCTGTGCTGCGCACCTCTCTGGGGGTTCAAATCCACTGGTGGCTCCGAGGGAAAAAGATGGGTGCTCTCTTCCTGGGGGATTGACAGCCTCTGAAAACCTGCTGGAGGGTCAGCTAGGAGGCAGTTCTCACTAGATGGCGAGGAGTTTGAGTTTTGTGTGGCACTGTGGCTGAAGCATTTTGGTTGCTAACCAAAAGGTCAGTGGTTCAAACCCACCAGCCTGCGTCCATAAAGATTTACAGTCTTGGCAACATCATGGGGCAGTTCTCTGTCCTACAGGGCAGCTAGGAGTGGGAAGTGACGTGATGGTTGGGAGTTTCTGTTCCCACCACATGCCATGGTCCCACAGGGTCTGACAAATATTGTGAGAATTGTTTTTCTAGAAGTTTCTCTCTGCCCAATAAATAGAGCACTGGCTAGTCTACTTGTAACACCTATGAGCTGGGAGGGAGGAGGTTATTTTGTGAGGTACCTAGAGCCTCAATTTTTAAAAGAAAAAGAAGGCTGGGGGGTGGCCAGTGAGAGAGACTGACTTCTCTCTCCATTGAGTCTCCTCTGGAATGGGCAGCGAAGGAAGGGTGGGAGGGGTCCTGGATATCGGGGCAACGAGAGACCCTGAGGAACTGGAGATAAATGAAGACTTTTATACATATATGTATCAAATGGGAGGAAATTGCCCATCCTTCTCCTGCAGAGCAGCTGGTGGATTCGAACCGCATGCCTTCAGGGACTGCAGCATAGCTTCTTGCCAGTAGGCCATCAGTGCTCGCTCGCTCGCGCTCGCTCTCGCGCGCTCTCTCTCTCTCTATATATATATACATGTATTGAAACTTTAATTTTCTTTCTAACCCAAAATATTTTAGAGCAGCAAGCCTCGTCTTTCCCCATCAGCCCTCAGGGAGTCTGTGACACACTCCTTTATGATCAGGGTTGGCACTCTCTCTCTGTAAAGGACACACTGTACATTTTTGGATCTGCAGGTCACATGGTTTCTGTTACACGCGACACTGTCGTGTAAATGCAGCCACAGTTCATACCTACATGGATGAGCAGGGCTGTGTTCCAATAAAACTTTATTTGCACAAACTGGGCTGGATTTGGCTCATGAGTTTTGGTGCTTTGCTGACACTCCCTGTACTCTCCCTCCACGTTCAGTGGGACTGGGAGTAAGAGGGGGAATGTGGATCTCCCCTCTTATCCTGAGAGCTTCCCATCTAGTGAAAGGAAAAGGGGGAACCCAGACAATGGGCAAAAAGTTCCTTCAAAAGGAGGGAACAGTCACTGGGCTTCCAGTGAAGTTCTTTGCAATCTGAAACTAAAAGTATCTAACCATATGGCTGTCTCTCCACTGACTTGTTCCTCACACTGGATTCCAGTATACAGGGATATACTTCTGACAACCTTTTCTTTAACCACAAACCTGCTGCAGAATTAAATTACTCTCACTGGGGATAATTAGACAGGGAAGAACGGGGGATCAGGGAATAGAAAAGTTTGAATATAATTCAAATTCTGAGAAGAGAAAAGGCAGGTCTGCCTGAGTGTGGAACAGTGGGCTAGCCTTCGCACCGTCCGAGGGCCCAGATAGGACAGCTGCTGGCCGCGTTCTGGCGCGACACTGCCACTGACCACGCTAAGATCACGTAACCCGGCCCTGGGAAGGGGCTGGAGAAACAGATTATCCATCTAGACAGGCAGTCTAGGTTGGATTAAAGTGTCCAGTTAATTTCACGGACAGAGGTGAAAGCCACACAATCAGAAACACAATGTGTATTGGCTGTGGAAAGAGCCACAGTTATATTTCACAGACATCCTTTTGAGAGAGTGGGATTCTGAAAGTTCCAGAAGTAATAAATGGAAATTATTAACTAACACATTCCCTTTAGTATCACATTTTTATGCGAATGAGGGTGCATTATTTTTGCAACTTCCTCCACCTCCTGTGCTAGTTTCCGGGGGTGTGATGTGTGTGGTAACTCTGGTTGAATGCCATGGACATCGGAATTGAATTCTGGCATCAGGATTGAAGCTTTAACCAACCAGACCATGGGAGAGTTGCTGTTTAACCAGCTTTCAATATAAACCAATTCCATCCAAGCTTCCTTCCACCATAAGACCACTGTCCTGGCTTCACGCCATTTCAGCAGGAAATAGTTTTTAGAAGATCTTCACCCCTTTTGCCCTTTAAGTTGGACACATAAGGTTGAAACCAATATGATTCGATTTTTCTGACCTTCTGACCCTACCTGTGTTTCAGGAAACAGTAAATAATCCGATTAATGTTTACCCCTAACCATGGTTTTATGACCCATTCCAGGAGATAAAACAGGAAGGGCTAAAATAATGGAAATTGGCTTCAGGCCTTTGAAACTGCTGGTACTACCCCCAACTGAGAATGGGTCAATACCATCACTCTTGTCTTTATTCCGGTCTGAGACCATCAGAGCCTCTGTCCCCCTTCACCAAATTGTGCATTTTAAATATATTTGCTATAGAAAAAGAAAATTCTGTTCCGTGTACCATTTCATTTCAGTCAGGTTAGGAAAGCTTTGTAGGATTTCCTCCGGAATCTCACCTCCACCCTGTCCTCAGGCTTTTATGTGCCTCACTTAGGTTAAAATTGACTTAGTCAAGGACCCAGCAGAGCCCAGCCTTTCCCAAGAGGGAAGGACTGATATTAAATCCCTGCCAATTCATACAGCTCCTGTATCAGAATGCATATCTAGTAGGTTTAATATCTAGTCTTCCTGTCAAACATTCTTCTAGGTGGTATAGCACTGGTCTGTGCATTGCTGTACAGAGGTAACTCATGGTTGCTGTGATGCTGAACACTGCAACAGTGATGTGCCAATCGTGGTAATGGGCACCCATGGTGGACAGTGTTGGCTGGAGCTTCCCGACTAAATCAAGCCTGGAAGCAGGAGCGGCGTCCACTTCCAAAATGGCTTGCCTCCGGAAACTCTATGTACGAACAGTGCTCAGGCTGTTCATTCATAGGGTCGCTATGAGTCGTCTACGACTTGACGGCATCAAACAACAACAACAACAACATGGACAAAAGCTCTGTCCACCTGCCATACAGAGGTAACTCGTGGTTGCTGTGACGCTGAACACCGTGACACTGATGTGTCAAATGAGTTAATGGTTACCCATGGTGGACAGTGTTTGGTGAAGCTTCCCAGTTAAAACAAGCTTGGAAGCAGGAGTAGCATCCACTTCCAAAATAGCTTGTCTCTGGAAACCCTATGAACCTGGAGAGAGGATGAAAGTTCATAGGGTCGCTATGAGTCACCTACAGCTCGATGGCGTTTAACAACATGGACAAATGGTAAAACACCAAAGGCTACAGGAAAATTTTAAGGAGGAAGATTTAAAACAAGTGTCAATTGAAACAGCAATTTAAAGACGTTCGTGGTGAGCGTGGCCGTCCTCGGGTCTCCCTGAGGAACGTTGGCCTTTTATGACTCAACAGAATCGGAGATTTTTCAGTAACTCACTCAGTCACTTTTGACAGTGAGCCAAGGAAACATCCCGGCAGGGCAGCTCTGTCCGTACTTAAAAAAATGAAAAAGGCACTTCCTCTAGAAGTGGTTTAGATTCCAAGTATTTTTTTTTTGAATGTCCATTTGTGTTTTATTGACTATACCAGGGCATTTGACTATGTGGATCATAAATAATTATGGTTGACATTGAGAAGAATGTGAACCCCAGAACATTTAATTTTGCTTATGTGAAATCTATACATAGACCAAGAAGCTGTTGTGTAAACAGAGCAAGAGACACTACATGGCTTAAAAGAGGGAAAGATGTGCATTAGAGTTGTATCCTTTTTCCATGTCTATTCAATCTGTATGCAGAACAAAGAATTCAAGATGCTGAAAGATTCCAAGTATTTTATTGTCTCCCCTCCCTGCCTGGTGCACTCTTAAGCCGCCTGTGATGGCCTCCGTGTCCTGCCCGTGGGCTCCACAGCTTCCTGGGGGCCTCCTGACCGGCTCTACTTACGCCAGCGCTGCAGCCCTTTGGACAAACAGAGAAAGATGTGAGGCTGCACGAGGCCAGTCCTGGCCCCATCTCCAAGCGGTCATCCCACCACGCTGTGGCTCATGCATTCACAACTGAGATTCAAGCACAGCAAGACGTTTCTACTTCCCTTTCCCGAGTCTCATGTTGGAAATTGTGAGGAGGGGGGGGAAGTTTCAGGTCTGAAACTACAGAGCCTTTTCAATCAGGGGAAACTTGGAGGGAAGGGCTGTTCCTGCGGGAGCACTGAGCCTTGGGTCGGCCTCTCCAAGAACTGCTTCTCCTTAAGAAGGACCAGGAGGATGACACGCAGGGCAGGGAGTTTGCGGCAGGCTCTCTCTCCTGCTCCACCACCTGCCCTTCCTCCCGTGAAGCACTGACTGCTCCAAAAAGAGTCAAATCTGGGCTTTTTACAAGTTTTATCCAGTCTGTGAATGACACTGGCCTTTGGCACTCACAGGAGCCCTGGTGGCATAGTGTTTAGACACGTGCCTGCTAACCAAATGGTTGGCAGTTTGAAACCATTTGTTCTAGTGAGAAACAGCAGTCAGCTTCTGTAAAGATTACACCCTTAGAAGCCCTATGGGTGGAGCTCTGGTGGCCTGATGGCAAGAAACTGCACTGCAATCTCGAAGGCGTGTGGTTCTAATCCACCAGATTAGAAGGAGGGGCAATCTCCTCCTGTGCCAGTCGGCTCAGAATCAAGAGTATACAAGAAAAACAAAAAGAAGTCCTATGGGGTCGAACTACTGTCCTCAAGGCTTGCAACTGACTCCATCAAAGCAGGGTAGAGAATGAATGAAAATCCAAAATCTCTGTAGATATTAATTGAAATTAATAAAAAAAATTCAATTAAAAAATAATAAAAAAACCCCAAAAAACAGGGTAAAGCTTAGCATATATTTTGATACTGCTGGGTCAGGCTGAAAGGATTTTATATGGTTTTTTTAAAGGTAAAGTGAAGCCTTAGACACACCGATGAGGTGTGAGGCGTGGCCCGCTGCACCGTCTGTCTTTGGGGGCATAATAAAGCTGTTTAGTTTCTGTGCTACAAAGGAGTTCAGCAGCAGGAATGAAAAAGTCCCTGGGAGCTAAGTCCCATCTTCCAGCGGGGAAACAGCCCTAGAGGAGGAACCTTACAGCCACCAGTTCCCAGCCACAACACTGAAGGGAAGCACAAGAACGATTATGTAAATCCCAGCCAGCTCTTAGAAGGGCCGTTACATCCAAACCTCTAAGAAACCCAGAGCCCCAGATTAGAGCGCATTCACTGGGGCGTGTCAGACACTGCAATTTAAGGAAGCCATCCGGAGGAACCCAGGGGAGCCCCGTAATGGGATGGGACCTGTCATTTAGGCTGAAAACACAAAGTCTTACTCAGATGCTTGAAGCTCCAGTTGCAACAGAGGAAGAAGTAGCCGGTGAAGAGCATGGTGATGCCGCTGACGCCGCCCGTCTTCACGGTCCTGCTGCATTGGGTCCACCCTGTGCAGAGACACGACTAACCGTTACAGAGACCTGGAACCCAGGGGGCCGATGCCTGTGGGTCAGAACACGCCATCCCAGTTCACCCGGGTGACGGGACTGTCACTCAGAGTACCGGAGCTGGCAGGAACCTCAGGATCTAGTCTAAGCCACTGCTGTTGTCTGAACTGACCCATAGCTGACCCTCCGGCGGGTTTTCAGAGGCAGGCAATCACACAGGAGGAGACTGTCCATTTTCCTCCTGCGTCGCAGATGGTGGATTTGAACAATGTGCCTTCAGGACTGCAGCTCAGCTTCTTACCACGAGGCCATCAGAGTTCCCTAGTCTAAACCACTAGATATGTATATTTTTAAATAGATGAAAATGCTAAAATCCAGAAGACCTGAACGTTAAGAAAATTGAGACTATCTACTCTTTAGTCTTTTGGGAACTTGGCTGAAATGTTTCATGGGAAGGAGACTGACCGAGGAGGTTAACGTGAGGGTCTGGAGGGCTTTGAGAAAGGCCATGTCAAGCAACATGGCGAGGGGGAGAGGCGGAAAAAGACAGAGGCCAGGGATGGGAGTTAAAACATGACATTCATTCACGTGATGGAATACTATGCAGCACTCAAGAGCAACAATTTGAAAAATGTAACATGAGAAAGGCTGTTGTGTTGTTGTTGTTATGTGCCGTTGAGTCGCCTGCGACTCATAGCGACCCTATGTACAACAGCCCTAAACTCCGCTCTGTCCTGTGCCAATCGCACTGTCTCTGACACTCCCATCCCAATTATCCCAGTCACTGAATCAATCCACCTCATAGTGGGCCTTCCTCTCCTGCGCTGTCCCTCCACCCTCCCAAGCATGATGTCCCTCTCTAAGGACCGGTCTCTCCTCACAACATGTCCAAAGTAAGTTAGACGGAGCCTCAGAATCTTTGCCTCCAAGGAGCCACCCGGTTTAACCCTTTCCAGGACAAATCTGTTTGTTTTCTTAGCAGTCCATGGTATTCTCAATACTCTTCTCCAGCACCACAGCTCAAAGGCATCAATTCTCCTTCTATCCTCCTTGGTCATTGTCCAACTCTCTGATGCATAACAAGTGATTGCGAAGACCATGGCCTGTATCAGACGCACCTTAGTCTCCAGAGAGAAAGGCGCATTGCCATGGGAAAGTCTGAGAAAGGCTAGAGAGCATTGTTCCAAGTGAACTATCTCAGGGGCATAAGGACAAATACTGTGTAAGACTGTTATTGTAAAAAATAGAAGGATAACAAGTAAGATGTGTATGGATATCCCAAGAGGGAAGGGAGGCGGGCGCCGAGGGTGATGGTGGTGGGGAAATCACCAGGCGGCAGAGTTTGGTGGGTTGAGGGAGGCGGGGAAAAATCCCTCCAACTTACATGAATGACACACAATGTAAATGAATTATTGTATGCAAACTTCTCCAAATGCTTGAACCAGCCCCAGAACCCCAAAGCCAACAGCCTCACCTTTTTTAAAAAAATAAATAAATAATGATTTGCTTATTGGCCAGGAGAGACCTGTCCTTGGAGAAGGACATCATGCTCGGAAGGGTGGAGGGACAGCGCAGGAGAGGGAGACCCTGGTTGGGATGGACTGACACAGTGACTGGAGAGATGGGGGTTGGTGTGTTGGAATTAGTGAGATTGGCTCGCAGGCACCTCGATGGCACATAACAACAATAACATACTATGACAGGTTTGGAAGCAGGAGTGGCATCCACTTCCCAAACAACATGCCTCCAGAAACTCTGAACTTTGAAAATGTCGATGGTTGTAGAGGGGCTTCAGACCTTTTGTTCATGGGATCGCTACGAGTTGTGCTTGACTTGAAGGCAATCAATAACAACAAAGATCATTACTTGTAATTTTTCTTTAAGCACTGGCCATCAGACATGTTTATCCAGGAATTGTCTGTCTGTCTGTCTGTCTCTCTCTCTCTATATATATATTATTGGTTTTCATAACAGTTTTAGTTTGCTTGGCTCCACAGTCAGCACTCTTGGTAACAGCAGCCGGGAAATCAGGAGATGAATTGCATTGGGAAAGTCAGCTGTGAGGGACCTCTCAAGAGTACTGAAGAGCAACGACATCAGGCTGGAGACTAAGGTGCGCCTGATCCAGGCTATAGTCTTTGCAATTACGTGCTATGCATGGGAGAGTTGGACAGTGAATAGGGATGATAGAAAGAGAATTGATGCCTTTGAGTTGTGGTGCTGGAGAAGAGTGTTGAATATACCATAGACTGCTAGGAGAACAAACAGGTTTGTCCTGGAGAGGGTGAAGCTGGAATGCTCCTTGGAGTCAAGGATTCTGAAGCTTTGTCTGACATACTTTGGGCATACTGCAAGGAAGAACTGGTCCTTGGAGAGGGACATCATATTTGGGAGAGTGGAGGGACGGTGCAGGAGAGGAAGACCTTCAATGAGATGGATTGATTCTGTGAGTGGAGTAGTGGAAATGAGTGTGTTTGAGACGGCAAGGTTGGCACAGGATAGAACAGAGTTTAGGGCTCTTGGATGCAGGGTCGCTATGAGTCGCAAATGACTCGACAGCACATAAATACAACAACATATAGTAATCCCTTACATTATGTTTCATTCATACACATTGTGTTTTACACACTCTTTCATCTACATTGTGTTTCCTACAATCACTCATAGGCAGCCTCACCTTTCTGGAGTGTTCTCAGGAGACTCATCAGAGAGAAGCTGGAGGCCGTGAGCCTGGTGAGCGGTTCCAAGAGCCTTCTATTGGTCAAACTTCTTTCCAACAGAACTAGGGTTTCAAACAGAAATCACTGTGATGGTCCGTGGCAGCTCGTCCCCTTCCCCAACATTCAGATCTGCGAATGGGTCCCAGGGCTGTGGGGCTGTTGTGAGGTGCTGTCAAGTTGGTTCTGACCCACATGTACAACAGGACAGAACAAGCCTCAGGAAGAGGTGGATGCGTGATGTTTACTGTGGACTGCCGAGATTGTGTGTTCAGAGTCAAAGTTACCTATTACCAAATAGGGAGTTTCTGAAGGCCAAGGATATTTTGTGAACCAGGAATGAGCCGTATTTTTTTATATGAAAATGCTGGTCTATCTGTGACTAGACTATACTGGTCCATGTATGTGCTAATAAGATGACTTGCTCATGCTTTCTATTTCTAGTAAACATTTTAGGAACAAAGTGACTTTCTACTAAAAAAAAGTATTAACTTTGGCCATGGGAATGCAACAGGAAGCCTGGTGGTACAGAGCGTGCTTAAGAGACTGACTGCTGACTGTAAAGTTGGTGGTTCAAACCCCCCAGCCATTCGGTGAGATTAAGATGGGACAGTCTGCTCCCAGGAAGACTTCCCGCCTGGGAGACCCTAGAGAGTCCTTCAACGCTGTCCGACATGGTGGCTCGAGTGGCACCAGCTGGACGCACTGGGTTAGGTTTGAAGAGTATGAAATCGTGGTGCTGTTATCTGGCATACAGCACAGACTGTGAGGTCAACAAAGACATCTGGGTTGGGAGGAGGACAGCCAGAAAGTGAGCATGGCGAGACTTCATCCATATCCTCTGGATGTGTTATCAGGAGGGACCAGTGCTTGGAGGTAGATAGGCCATCATGCCTGGTAAAGCGACGGGTCCTTGAAAAGAGGAAGACGGCCCCCTTCCCCTCCACCGCAGTTAAGACGGAGTAACACAGTGGTGGCAATGATGGGCTTACACACAGCAGCACCTGTGATGGCAGAGAGCTGGGCTGTGCTGTGTACACCGTGGGTCACAACCAACTCGAGGGCACCGAGCAACACTGCTCCAAGTCATGGCTCTCTGCAGTCCCCCCGGGCACTGTTAGATGCCGTTAGGGAGACCCTTCCAGGGGCCGACACCACCGCAAGGTTTTCTGGCTGTCACGGGGTCTTCTCCTGAAGACACTGGGTGGGTCTGAACCGCGGACCTTTCAGTTAGCAGACAAGCACTTAGGCACCGCACCACCAGACTTCCTTAAGTATATGTGACCCTTGCGTGATCCTTACTGCCCCGTCTCCTCTGCTATTTTTCTCCACTTTCTGATGACAGGCGCTTATTCTCTACTACTGCTGGTTCTTTGGTCTTGGTGGGGCTCATCAGAATAAGAGACACGTTGTTGTTGTT